AGTGTTTAATAATATTTAAAATTAATTTTTTTTGCTTATTTTTTTTCTAAATGATCATGTTATGATTTTTGTATATAAAGAAGTGTTCAATAATATTTAGATTTTTTGTTCCAGGGCTTTTATCAAGTGATTTTGTTATTAAATTTTTACTATTTTTTACAATTTATTTTGTTTCCTCTATCACATAGCTTTTTGTGGAAATAAAAAAAATGGTTAGTTTTTCGTGCAAATGCACGGGTTGCAACTAGTTTATTTTAAGTTGCATACACTTAATAAATATTTTTAATTACCGTATCTACATATTTAGGAACAACTAGTTTTACCCCGTGCATTTGCACGAAAAGCGATATATTAGAAGAGGAAGTAATTAAAAATATAGAATAAAATAAAAAAAATAACTTAATAAATGAGAAAAAAAAATAATTTCAAAAAGAGAATTCAAATATTATTAAACACTTCTTTATATACAAATGAACACCTATTTTTATTAAATGAACTCCTATTATTATTAATTGTTGGCTGAATAAAATTTATTGAAGCTTCACAGCAATTATATATATATATAGATATAGATAATTAAATGCTAAAAAAATTGAAGGAAAAATATAATTAAATGCATTAGAATAAAATTAAATGTTGTTCTACCAAATTATATATTTATAGATAACATTAAAAAAATTATGTGGTTAAGCTCAAGATATGTCGATTCCATACCATTTACACAACATTAATTAAAGGAGACAAAAAAATCTATTAAAAGAGGGAATCAAAGGAGAATAATAAACGGGAAATGCTACAATCCTGACGGAAAATGCTACAATCCTGTTACGGAACCATTTCGTCGAAATTTGTAACCGTTAAATTATTATGCAATCGTCACAGATAGTTGATCTAACAGTTACAACCCAACATAATAATTTCGTAACGGGACCGTAAAATCTCCCAACATATATCCAAACATGAAACACCCAAATTAAACATAATATTTTATATTGTTTTCATTAAACCAACATCAAACACACACCCAAAATATATTTGTTTAATTACAATCACTCCAAACCCTATATCTTTCTCAATCAACCAACTCCCATATATAATATATACTAGTTGGCCTGACGGCTGTGCACACACAGCCGGCCCTAGTCCAGTGTATAATTATAACTAATATTTAGAGAAATTTTAAAATACACATACGCATTTTTTATGAATACTGATAATATGTGGTTTAACGTTGCAGTGTGTTACAAATGTTTTGATGTTGAAACAACCTATGTTGATGTGAAAATGTGTACAACAGTGGTAACTTGTGAAATAGATGGCTATTATAACATTATTCACCATTGCAATTGTTACGATGAAATAACATAGAATTGCTTAAAATAAGTCTAAAATTTTTGCTCCAAAATAAACCCAAAGAGCTGATTTGCATAATAGTCTGACACATGAGGTCTCTACACACTAAGCTGCTTAGACGAAAGAACAGAAGCTACAGTGGACTTACATGATTCTACAAAGAACAACACCAAATGAATTCTCATCCACAGCAAAACTATGGTCGCAATCTGGAAAAAAATAGCGCACTCGTGTTAAAAAATATACATGACGAAAAGAAAAGGTAAGTTCTTGTGCATGGTATACAGATAATTTTCCTTCCATTTATGAAGTTACTTCACTCACATAACCCCATTCTCCAAAACTGCAATGGTAAAGGCTTAACGAAAAAGTTTAAAGATGATTTTAAAAGCAACAAGAAGAGAAGTGGTTGATACCTTCATAAAGATTGGAGAAAAGAATTGAGTAAGAAAATCCCCAATTTTGCTTTTTCAGACCATCTGCATCCTAACAGAGCATCACAAAAGGAAAAGGCATTCATGCGGATATGTTTAAATTGGGTCATGAGTCGGGACACACTCCACAAACAAGTAATTGAAGGTAACAAGATGATTAGCCTACTGTAATGTACGGGACAAACAAAAATGCTCCAAATTGCTGTAAATTTGAAACCAAGCATCAGACGAACTTTGACAATAATAATGATGACACAATACTAAAAGATCTCACACAACAAGCATTAAGTCTGGAAACAGAGAAAAATCGAGCCACTTTCAACTCCGTCAAATGGAACATTTCAGATATTTTGACATAACTGATCATATCGAGCACTTGTTTGTGAAAAATATTATAGTCATTAATCATTGTTCTCCACATATGATACAAATATATTATTTGGTTATCAATAAAGACAAAGATGGCAAGAAAAAAATAAAATAAAATAAAAGCAGAAATCTTTCACTTCATTATTCTCTTTGGTTCCTCCAACATTACCTTTTAGTTCAGTTCAGCATAACATAAAATTGAAATCAGGGCCTGTACCCGGCCCAATTCAGGTAAAACAGATTTTCCATGGTGCACTGTATTGCTGGAATATGCCCTACTAACTCATTCTCAGAAACATCCAAGTATTGGAGCTGCATAAAATTCCCAATCTCTGAAGGAATCTCTCCTGTAAATTTTTTCCCATGAAGATAAAAATATGTCAAGTACGACAGGTTGCCCAGTGACCGTGGCAAGTTTCCATAGAAGAAGTTACAACTCAAATTGAAAGTTTCTATCTTCCATGTCATAGAATTCGTTAGCAGCGTAATCCACAGGCCCAGAAATCCTATTCTGCTGACATAAAGCCCCACAAGATTCAACATTCGTGACAAGGACGAAGGAAGCTCCCCATCAAGCTCGTTATTGCTCAAATCCAAGGTTGTTAGATTTCTTAACCTTGAAAGAGACCCTGGAATTTAACCAGAAAGAATGTTATTCTTGAGTAGAAGATCCACAACCACCACAAGGTTACCTAAGTGAACATCCGTGTCATTTCAAAGTATGTTCTAAGAGGCAAGAAACCAACCAGTACTTGCTCCACTTCAGCCAATTCGTCATCCTCACTGCTCGAGAAAGACAAAATTACAAACAAGATTGAGTTAATTGAGGATTTGTGGGATATTGATATGTCAAGTAGAAACATGGATGATTAATTGATAGTTGCTTCCCCTTTTTTCAAATCTGTAAACTAAACCAAGCAGAATAATGATATTTTATTTAGTGCACATAAGGAGATTATCACTGTAATATGTTTTATGTTGAATATTTTACATGAAAGGAAAAAAAAAAATACTATTAAAATGGCTTCTGGTAAAACCATATAAGGAGAGTAAATATTATTTCTTTTCTGCCTTTAAAATAAACAACGTGATAAACAATAATAGTTTATGCATTGTATCTTCTTATCACACCAATCTCTTCTAAAATTTGTAGATTACATTTTACTAAATGACCTAAAAAATACTATCATGCGAGTATACCCAAGTGCTACATTATACTTCTCCTTTCTAATTGATCCTGCATTGTTGAATTTCTAATACCAACTAAAAAACATTGTTACATGATCAAACTGAGAGATTAGTTAGTTTCTAACAATGTTACATGATCAAACTGATTGTATATTAGTGAGTTTCTAATACCCAACTGCATCATTAAAAATTCGAAATTCTGTGAGGTAGGTAATGGCAAATAAATATATCTCAAGCAATAGTTTCTACCATTCTAAGTTGTAATCTTCGAAAAGGATGGTGATACTTCAGAGGGTATTTTATAGCAAAGTTAATAAATTTGTGCTTTGAGGCAATCAAGATTACAACCTCCGATTAACTTTTGTAATTATCCATTAGAATAAGGATTAAGGTTTATAATAATGTATCAGCAGCTAATTAATATCTTCACCAGTATGAAATTTTCCTCGCATCCATCGGTTTTGGCAACACACATATAAACCCCTCAATTAAACTGGCATATAACACAACGGTTTACCTATTGAGAGGTTCGACTTTTTTTCTAATGTCGGCAGTGGCATACTTGGGGAGGGTGTCCTGGTGCTTCCTTTTCTCCCTCAGCCAAGCTTCAGGTTACACACATTCATTCAGTACCTGAACACAGTGAACCATGGATGACTTAAAGATCACATAAAATAAAATAAACCAACCCAATTAAGAATGTTATGTTCTCCAGTTGGTGCCCTTCACATCTTCCAGTGGGAGCAAAAAGAGATTAATTATTAGTGCTCAGATAATATATACCTTTTGCTCCTCTGCCAAATCAATGTGATCAAACTTGGGATCACTCGATACAGAAACTTCTTTGTAACTGTACAATTCACACATTAGCATCTGCATTTGTAAGCTATGAAATCATGCATAGCTTAAGAGTGCTCTTCGTATATATTTCTCTTACAGAAGTCGATTGGTGCGCGAAAATGTATTTCGATGATGCAGAGCAAATCAAATATATACAACCTACATCAATGGATATTGAAAAAAACCTGCCCTTGTTTTTTTTTTTTTTTAAAAAAAGTCAACTTCCATCTGCAGATCCTATAATTATAGGTCTGTGCAGTGCATACATTATCTTTTTTGTTATTGTTCATAAAAACATCCCAATTTAAATTTAAATGTTTCTGCAGAATAAGACCATGAGTCCACTGAACACAAAGAATGTTAATGTGAGCAGTTTGCGCCCAATTAGTATCACTTATCAACTAAAAGGATCGTTTAAAAAATTTTATAATTTGCAAACACGAAACACTCACCTGATAGAACTTACAGTAAACTTCAGAAGAAGACATGATTTGCCAACGCCAGAATCACCAGAAAGCAAAAGCATACGAAGCTAGTTACTACAAAAAATAAGGAAACAAAAAAAAAAAAACTTAGATCCCTTCTAGTATCATTTGGCAGCAACACACAATCGAAACAATAGCAATCCCATTTTATATACCTTTATCAACACCAATACATTGCTAAAATTTTAGCCAGAAGACAACCCAACAATTCTCTAAAAATTTCGAAGGAATAAAACACTCAAGCATTGTGGAAGCAAGGCAATTGTTGAAATTCTCTATGCAAATTTTTAGTGGAGATTGCATTAGCTTTATAACAAATCAACGGGTAAGCATTAACCTGTTAACAAATAATTAGCAACGCAGAAAATGGCGAAAAGGCTTTTTTCTACAGGAAAGGGCCTCTGTCATCTCATGAGGTGGGTCGAAAACCCAATGATCTTGTTGCGAAGGCACTTCGAGGGGCTTACGACAAACTCCTCCCGGATGTTCTTGTTGGTGTAGAAATCAACGATCTTCTTCTTGAGTAGTAGTGCTTGATGACCTGAAAGGAGGACTTTCTCACGGCGTTCGTGCGGCCAGCACATTTACAACAGTTGCAGTAGCTAACAACGACGGTAAGAGAAAACTTTACTACATTCTTTACGCCCAGTGAGTTTTATTTTCAATTAGAATATAATGAGCGTATGAAGACTTGTTTGTAGTGCTGCATTCCATGAGTTCTGATTCATTTCTTAGGTGTTTTTTTCGTTGTTGATGTTATTTGGTTGTTGCATTTTACAAATGATGGTAATTTTCAAACTCTGGAACGGTATATTAATCATTCGCCTGTGGGTTTGGTTACCTGTTTGCCAGTACAATTTCCCTATAAGTGTGTCATCTTTTGTCATCCATTTTTATTTCAGTCAAACATACTTGATTGACACGTGTCCAATTTGTTCAAGCATAAATGTCCTCCAATTTGATTATAAATGTCCAACTTGATTGACCGTACTTGATTGAGAAAGTTATATATATAGAGAGGAGTACGGTTTTGGCGATGAGATCCGAGACCGGAATCTGTGGAGACAGAGAAATTTCAAACAAGCCCCAGATGTTTAGCGTAAATCAGGAAATAGCCTAGTCGTTTTTTCGAATTTGTAGATGACCCCCTCGTGTTTTAGTCTTACGTACATTCTCAAGAAGGGATTGTTTCTACTGTAAATACAAATCTCAAGGGCTTATTTGTAATCTAAAAAGGATAGTCGTTCTTTTTTCTTTTTATGGGTTAACACTCAACAGACCAATAACAAAAAAAGTAGTTGGGTGCTATCGTATATAAGCTATACTTCAGGGACGATTATGCAATTAAGACAAAAAATGAACAAAACAAGGTAATCTTTCGAAAAAAAGCTCACCTTGACCCCATCTTTTCCAATCACAAAATCGAGACCGCCCGAAACCAAAATGGACTCCAGTGTCTGTGCTTCCATTTTTGCCCTTTCAATCTCTTCAAGCTCGGCAAATTTCTCGGGCGTGAAAGGGAAAGCTTTCAGTCCGTGTTCCTCAATAGCATCAGCCACGTTCGGATGGACAGTTTTCCCATCCGGCCCAATTGCGACAACTGTCGGGAGCTCATCGAGCTCGAAATATCGGACGAGCTTCGAACGACATTTGTCATTCATGGGCAACGAAAGCCAAGGCAGTTGATTGAAAAGTTGCATGAAAGATTGCTCGTCATTATCGAGGGGTACCATCACAATTTCAAAGTTCTCACCAATTTTTTTCAAGCCCTCATAAGTTTCGACTAGCTTCTGGTTGAAAGATAAGCAACTTTTGTAAGTGGATAATATGAAGTACAAGCCAATAGTTTTGGCTTCCAGCTCAGGAATTCGAACCTGTATAATAGCGCAAGAGATTGATTATATGATAGCACGTAAATTCTCAAACTTGAAATGAACAAAAAAAAGAACAAACCTTCTCCCCATCAGATTTAATCACATAGTCTCTCGACCGGTATGCAAGCAATGACTTAAGCGAATGGTTCTTCCTAGCTTCAAATTCTTGTAACTTAAGCTGCTCGATCTTTTTGAGATGAAAATCTATACTTATATTAAAGGGGATCCTATTTACTAAATATAGTAGTTAGAAAAGTCAAACTTAATTAACGAATTTCTAATTTTATCAAGTATTTAAATAATGCATCTATAATTTTGGTTTGCAAATCAAATTAGCATTTAATTAGTTCCTAAAATATTGGTATGCAATATTAATTTAGAATATCCATATAGTTCCTAAAAAAATATTGCAACACGTAAAACTATTCCAATTAAATGCTAATACTATTTGCTTCCTCGGCCACTTTATCGGGCGAGGAAACTCTGTCCCGACAACATTCTGAGCCAGCAAATTCGAGCACAACAAACAACCTGTGGTCAAATAAGTGACTGAACATGAGCTTGAACTCAATTTATTAGCAAAATTACTAGAGACTTAAAGATCCCAATTAAGCAGTTGTTTGTATAATAAGTCATCACTTGCTAGTTGCAAATAGTTCCATCATGTTGCAACCACTTGTAACTTCTATCTTAATTTGTTAACCTGTTTTAATTCATGAATTATTATCTCATTAACTCAGTTATGTATTGTTTTTGTCATTTTGTTAATTATTTTCTAGGTTGATTACTTTGTGTGCTTCATAGGGCTATATTACATAGAGTTTCATAGGGTGGCCCATTTATTGAGTCCACTCCCTCTTCATCTTAATCTACGGGGCTCATATAACACCTCCATCTCCTAAAGCGAAAACATCTGCAAATCTTACCGATAAAAAAAAAAGTGCAAACCCTACCAATAAAAAAAAAAACATCTGCAATCAAATCTCTCACAAATCATGGCTAATTTACCGGGATTGGGTGATTACG